TTTTAAAGTTTAGTAGGTCGGTAGGTGATAATAGTACTAATTTAAGGTAATAAATAACAAAAAGAACATTACAAAGAAAAATAAAGACACTACCTTTCTAGTAAGTATACATATATATATATATATATATATATATATTACAACAAAAAGTTATCACAGAAATACCACCTTATATCCCAACAGATCTCCATTTTGTTTAGCTTCTAAAGGTGGTTTCCATGACACTTCTATTTCAGTTGAGCTGAGGACTGACACTTTCACATCCTGAGGAGAGCCTGTGGGCACTATCATAGATAACAAAGCACACATAAAGTAACTGTCTTTACTATAAGTAATAATTCTTGTACACAGATTTAACATAATGTTATAGTGAGAGTACTGCATTACTGCTACACCAAATTTTACAAAAGCATTTTATGAAAAGCATGTCAGCAACTCTGTAGTGAAAATACATATGTTAGATGTAGATAAGAGACGGTTCAACGTATTTCTCAACAAACAACATCTAGTCAATAACAGTTTATACTGTACCCTACTGTCAAATGAACTTGAGTATAATGTCAATAAAATGTATGATTAGCATGAAAAGGAAACTTGCTGATATCAAATCTTGACACTTAAAAAAAAAAATTAAAAGTGTACTAAACACTGATTATAAGCTAAAACATGTTAGGCTAATATTTTCAAAGATAGCTGTATAGAACTGGAAGATTAAATAGATTACCCATGAACTTCAATTACTGTCATGTAAATTAATGATTGATTAGATTAAATTACATTAAGTCAATTAAAATGTCACAAAAATAGCCAACTATTCAAAATTAATGGTTTTTTTTATGCCAACTATCCAAGTAATTGAAATATTGCCATTATAGTTTCTCATTATTATTTTCAATTAATCAAGTTTGTTTAGCTTGGTAAATTTGTGCTCCCAATTATTACTATTTTAAGTTATTTGAACTATACAAGTCTCCAGTGAGAATAATTGATTACTTGAATGAGCCGATGATTAATCAGTTACCAAATTCCACAAATTGCCCAGCTCAAACAACATCTTACCAGCTTCTCCAACATAAACAGTTACTGGCCGGCTCGGTGGTCCATTTCCCTGGTCATTATATGCGTAAACCTTCACTTCATATATTTTATCTTGCTCTAAATTATCAATGGACACAGTGTCCTCCTTGGATCCAATGACCTGTTTATTTGGGCAGTCTGTGCTTTGTGGAACAGCATAGGTGGACACAAGACAGTACTCCACTTTATAACCAGGATTTTGAACATCTCCATTCCAGGCATTACCATCAATAGGCTGTGAAACATTGCATACAATATTCAACAGTTTTCCATATATCATGTACTTTCTATTTAGCAGATGACAAACAAGTTTATAGTACGACTAATTTTTATACTACTGTAATTAACACAAATTCAGTATTAAAAACATTATATTCATATATGTATATGTTTCATAAGATATAGCATACAGAAAAATTTACTGAGAAGCAAATGATTGTAAAACAACTGAAAACAATTTATTTAAACTTCATGTTTACTGTGCATCATTAAATCTAAACTGATTGCTTAATTTGGATGTTAATTCTTGATTTAACATGTGTCTTGCAAACTGAAATCCTGTCACTAAATCACAGCAGTTAACCTGAAGTATTTATGATTTAATATCCATGCAGTGTACTATACATGTTCATGTGTAATATCATTCTCTTTAAGAAATAATACAAATTCTAAAATTTATAATTAAAGCTGATCTATAGCAGATGTTATTCATTAGTCAAATAACACCAAGCACTAATTTCAAAACAAATAACATAAGGTGTTATGATATGAAGTCAATTATCTCTTTTACTGTGATCAATTACTTATATTAATTAACTCAGCATTGACAGTTATATAAAGTTATGCTTGCATGCAAGTGCTTAAAAAGTGACTGTTATATATCACTATACAATTATAATACTTGGACTTTTTTGAATGTTACTGAATACACTGATTACAACAAAATAATGTCAACTAGAATTGATCTGATTGAGATCGTGGTATTTATTTTCCTAAGTTATTAAAATCTTACTGATTTCAAGCAAGAATTTGCAGTTGCAAAATATACTTACTGCAGGATTTTCTTAATCAGAGAACTAAAATATGAGTTGTGGTCTGTGAAAGCACTTTAGTACCACAGCTTAAATAGCATTTAATGAGAATAATGGTTTTTGTGAGCAGCTTTAATGACAGGATTTCTTTTAGTGGTTATACTGCACATTCCATGTCTTTTGTTTTTTGTTGACAATACAAAAAATTTTGGGAAAAGTGATACAAAAATAATTGTTTAATTTTGAAATTTTTTTCAAGAAAATTATAAGAATTATTTAATAATTCACTTAATAGAAAAAATTATACATAATACAATGAGTCATCCACCCTAAGAAAGTTCAGAATAATCAAATTTCAGTATAAAAACACATTAACTCTTGAATGTTTTGCTTTATGGCAGGATTGGCTTATTTACAGAAATGAATTGAGTGCTTCATAATATTTACAGTCAATACTATTATATACAAATATTTAAAACTAAGAAATAAAATATTTCTAAATCAGTATTTCCCAGATAATAGGAACTGGAATATTTCACATACCAGCACAAGTATTTTTAGAAAGATTTATTAACCCTTTCATCCCTGCAGCCATTTTAAAATTCTTTTCTGCATATGGTGCTGCATTACATTCAAAATTTAATTAAACCACTTTACTATCAATGTATTTTAATGAAATGATCAAGTATGTTATAATTAAAATTTTTATATTATCTAAGTTTTTATTCCTTTATTTCAAAAAGAAACATTTAAAACAGCAATTAAAATTGCAGTTTTTGTGTCACGTGATCCGCTCATGGTTACAACCCTCAACTTTTAAGAGCTCTTATACTAAAAACTGAGTAGCTAACACAGACTGTTATGTTAAACAAAGTCTACTACACAGATCTATTTTATTGCCATCTGCAAATATTTGAAGATTTTTTTTTCCTCATAGGAAAACATAATTTCTTTCTTAGTTTAAAGCATTTGTGAAGTCGAGGCTGTGTTTGTAAGTGACAGTTTGAAGTTGAATGACGTGTTTATAAACCAATAGAAAGAGCAGGTTTCCCTCTATTTGGGTAACTTATGGAGGATACGTTAACATTGTATGGTTTTGCACTATAATGTGGAAATGAGGCTTAGTCCGTCGAGAGCCGTCTCCCTAGCGTTTGGCTATACTTTCTCGGCTTATACCTATTAGATTGGTATGGTTAAATTGCATTAATGTTTTTCTTTTATATTTAAGTTAATTATGTATTATTTGTGTTTTAAAATTCATATTTGAAAGGTTTAATAATTTTTACATGTTAACTTGCTGTTATCTGGATTGTGGAAGCTTAATAAACACAATGCATGTATCAGTTCCATCTTGTTTTTCAAATAGTCTGTCGAAATTACTTCATAGAGCCCTGCAAGTATCAGTTGACGTGTCATTATAAATACTAAATGATGAAGAATTTGAAAAGAAAATTAAAAATAGACTATAAGCGAAAATATAAAGACGTGAAATTACTCATAGGACGAGAAAAATAAGTTGTAAACCATTCTATACAAACATAAAGAACGTCCCTATACTATAATACTCACCTCCCACTATAATGGACTGACACATGTATACAAACAAAGAACGTCCCTATACTCTAATACTCACTTCCCACTATAACAAAGTGAGACATGTATATAAACAAAGAATGTTCCTATACTCTGATACTCACCTCCCACTATAATGAACTGAGACATGTATACAAACAAAGAATGTCCCTATACTCTAATACTCACTTCCAACTATAACAGAGTGAGACATGTATACAAACATAAATAATGTTCCTATACTCTAATACTCACTTCCCACTATAACAGAGTGAGACATGTATACAAACATAAAGAATGTTCCTATACTCTAATACTCACTTCCCACTATAACAGAGTGAGACATGTATACAAACATAAAGAATGTTCCTATACTCTAATACTCACTTCCAACTATAACAGAGTGAGACATGTATACAAACATAAAGAATGTTCCTATACTCTAATACTCACTTCCCACTATAACAGAGTGAGACATGTATACAAACAAAGAACGTCCCTATACTCTAATACTCACCTCCCACTATAATGAACTGAGGCATGTACACAAACATAAAGAATGTTCCTATACTCTAATACTCACTTCCCACTATAACAGAGTGAGACATGTATACAAACAAAGAACGTCCCTATACTCTAATACTCACCTCCCACTATAATGAACCGAGGCATGTACACAAATATAAAGAATGTCCCTATACTCTAATACTCACCTCCCACTATAATGGACTGAGACATGTATACAAACAAAGAACGTCCCTGTACTACAATACTCACTTCCAACTATAACAGAGTGAGACATGTATACAAACATAAAGAATGTCCCTATACTATAATACTCACCTCCCATTATAATGGACTGAGGCATGTATACAAACAAAGAACGTCCCTGTACTACAATACTCACTTCCCACTATAACAGAGTGAGACATGTATACAAACATAAAGAATGTCCCTATACTATAATACTCACACATCTCTTTAACTCAAGTTTACAGGCTTAGCTCATTGGGTACTTGCTCATATGGAGAATGATACACAGTTCAACAATACTTATGAAAACTCTGAGCTTTCTTAATGTACCTTCACCACAACTGGTAAGATTTTGTCCAATATTACAAGTATTTTGAACACAAGGAATGAGATTGTTTTAATTAAGTGTTTTAACTAAAGATTTGTTATTTTGGTATTGTAGTAACTTGCACTCATACTCTGAATATTTCAAGAATTTTAATCAATGTATAGTGCAATGAAATGTTTAAAATTAAAAACTAGAAATAATTTACATACCTTTTAACTTTTGTCGACCAATCTTAAAAGCTCTTCTTTTGGTTATATTCTTAATTGCAAATCTTTATGTTTTCACATATAATTTATTTTTAATGTTTTATATTCCTTTCCTATCCTTTACCATTATTATTTATATCAACACATGCCAACAGCCATCCTTGGGCAATATTACTGTATCAGTGACAGAGATACTTTAGTCTTAGGCCAAATGTTGTTGCACTTTCATACTATACTATGCCTCATTTGTTATTTGTGTTTAAAAATATCCCAAATAACATACAATTAAATAAAATATAAAACTAAAACTATATATTTAACTAACATACTTCTAGGTGATAAATAAAGTTAAGTGCTAGCAAGGATATCAATGTCATCAGAGTGGGTTAAAGTATTTGTAAGGAATTGTGCATGCCAAGTTAAAAATAACCATTGGGAAATTGTAGCTTAAAATGAGCTCTGTCTATTGGTTTTAAACATTTAGAGAAATAAATAACATTGAGTGTGAAATCATATGGCAATGTGTAGAAAGTGGGTGTGGCTTCTGTCAAGAGTTCCCAAGAGATATATTTCACTTTTCTCTGAACTTGCCCTAAATAATTTGAAAGAAGGATGTTTGTAAATAGAGCAATTAGTCTAGTTTCTGTCAAGACATTGAGATCTAGTGTACAAAAAGAATTACATAAATTACAGAGACTGAAAGCTAAGGCTTGTAAATGCTTGTGTGACACAGGACAACAAAACTGAAGATTAAGTTATTTTTTTTTTAAATTTATTTTGAAATAAGGGAAGCAAAGCAAAGATAAAAATACTTACCTCCCACTTTACTCTGATGGATGTTGGAGTATATGGAGTAACAGTAACAAATCGAGGAGGATCCTCTGGAGCTGTAGAAATTAAAAAACTAATTCACTGGGCATAAAATAAGAATAAATGAAACAAAAAATTTACAATTTGATATAAAGATTGTTTTTTCAAACTAATGTGTTATTTTAAAACTTGGAATTACTTAAATGTAATAGTTAACAATCATTTGATAAAAATCTCAACTGAAGAAAATTTAGTCTTTTGAAAACTTTTTTTTCAGATTAAATTTTTGAAGTTTTATTTGAGTAATTTAAATTACAAAACAAAAAGTGAACCTATTGTATAGCATTTTGTGCTATGGTAATTTTCTAGTCTCTAACCTATGTAAAAAAAACAAAAAAACATTTTAGCCAATCTGATTTTAATTTTATTATTGAAAGGTTTTTCTTGTTGCTGAAAAGTTGAGGTAAATGCATCATTCTCAGATTTATTACCCATATTTTTTTCTTTATTAATAGTCAGCAGAATGCTTGAGTTACCGAATTATTGTTAAAACTATGACTGGTGCCCAAAACACAAGTCAACATACAAAATGTTGAAACTCTTTACTGAAACTCTTAACACTGTACATATTTAGGAAGGAGATAAAGAATGAATAAAACAACTTTAGTGAATCACCTAGGTGAAGCATAAGCAAATAGTTGCTTTACTTATATTTCATTTAAGAAAACTTAAAAGTAAATTAAACACAATGTTGACCAGCAAAAAATATATCTATGAATTTGTTTTAAGGGAGTTGTAGGCAGAGAAAATTGTACTAGGTATAACCTACACCTGTATAATGCTGTCCACTTCTTATTACATTAAATCCATGAACTTTCTATCTTTTTTTTTGTGTAATATTTTTTAATATTTAGTAATTTACAATCAAAATACAATGATTTTAATCAATCAACTCCTTACCATCGGGAAGAGTTTGAGCCATTTTTGATTCTGGGCTCCAATTACTTGATCCAATATCATTAGTAGCTTGAATTCGAAACTTGTAACTTGTGAATGGCTCAAGACTGGGTGAAGAAAAAAAAAAATAAACATTTGAAGATTAAACTACAAATGGGGGATGTATATCACAGTTTTTAAAAAATAAAATATTTTTTGCACTAGGCAACAAAAACTGGCAAAAGTTCAAGGAAGAAAAAATATAGAACTATTAATGAAAATGTTATGTTATGTTTTTATGAAATAGTAGATTTATGGAAAAACAAATTTAAAACTAATTTCTTGAATGCTGTTCTTGAAACACTTACGTCAGCTTTACTGTAAAAAATACAGCTCAAATAACTGACATATTTATGCTTGATTAGCATTTAAATGAGAGAAATGTTTACAATGAAGATTTTATTATGTTTGAATTACAATGTGCAACTTGTATAAAATATGGCAATGAAAAGAACTGGAATTGTGTATTGTAGTATTATATATGGAAAGTGAATGTTAAATATTTAAAAAACATACAAAGTTTAAGATTTATTACCTCAAATTCTGAGTAAACAATGTTATTTATGCTAACAATCACTAATCTACCAGAACAAACAAAAAACAAACTGGGTTATTAAATTGAAAATTACATTTGCCAAAAGTCTAAAAATGAAAGGTTACACAAGTGGATGGGCAAGAAATGAAATGCTGGTGATTAATGAAACATGACTAGGTGTGCAATGAATAATCAACACAAACTCAACCAATAACATTCTATTATCCAAAACAGTGAAAATATTCTTCAATTATGAGTGACAAGCTCAAATGGCTAAACCACTGCTAAATTTCCACTTTTTACTCATTTGAATAAAAAGATGATGAAAGACAGGTTGCTTAGAAATAATAAATTAATAAACAGTGCATGTAATTTTGTATTTATTGTGTTAACTTTTTAATGCACAAGAAGCAACAATTTTCACAATTGTGTTTACAATTTCAGTTTCATAATAAAGTTTTTACTTTGCATTAATATGAAGTAAAACAGGCAATGAATGAATAAATTTAATTTTGCTTTTTCTTGAAGATTAGTTTAGACAGTATAATTTTAATACTTATTTTATCAGTTTTTTTAAAACAGCCATTTTAGAAACTAACAAAGTCTTAAAATAATTCTTCCGATAAGCTCAATCCGGACAATATTATACAATTTTACCATTAGTTTCTATCAACTTTGAACTCCAAACCAAATCTTGAATATTAGTCTTTCTACCATTCACTAAGGGACTTAAAAAAAAAAAAAGAAAACAAAGGGCCTTAAATACAAAGTCTTCATTTAAACCATGAGCTCATAAAATAATAACATTTTGAAATCTGATAAACCCCTGTACATTTAAGAACAGTGATTTGCTAGAACTGGTAAAGTTTCCAAGGTATCCTGCTTTCAGTTCCAGGTACATTTCACCGAATCATCTGGTTAAACAATATGAATGTTATAGTGAAATGAACAATAAACTAATACCCAATAATTTGAGTGGTCTTTTCTTCCGTACAATGTTCTTGTTAGTTCATGATGTTGAGAAAACACATTGGTTAAAAAAATCAATGAAAGACAAAAATAAAAAAAATCATATAATGTTTACCCTTGATGAAGAAAGGTCTTCCTTTCAAAAGTGCTAGAATTATAGGGTTTCTTAGTCTTGTCTTGTAGGTTACATAACATTTTTATTATCTCCATAATAGGTTTAGCATAGTGTTGTTCAGTAGTGATAATATGGCATTAAAATTGTGAGTGGAAAAGTGTATCACAGCTACCCACAGGATATTAGCACCAAACTTAACTAGGTATTAAAGTAACGTGCACAGAAACATTATAATCATACACATTGAACCTAGAGTTAAGTTCTCAGTTTTCTCTTACATAACCCACATTTTGAAAAAGAGTCAATACAAAAAATACTGACCAACAACTATATTAATTCTATGTTGTGTATTTTGAAACAATACTCTACCTATTGGGAAAATGTAATTTCATTATTGTGGCTGCCTTATCGTACCTTACAATGAGGTTTGTTTATAATATCAAAAACTGTTTTTAGTTGCAGCTCTAAGGCTAGTTACTAGATGTTTAGCATAAAGACAATTTATAAAACTTCTGTAATTTTTAAGCATTACTAAAGTATTCTGTACTTCATATTTGTGTTATAAAGAAATTTCTTCTACTTATATATATTGGAAAACATGAGATTCATATATAAAGATATATAATTTGTATACAATATACTGTAATATCATATATGTTTAATAACATTAAGAATTAAAATGCATCTGAGTTCACTTCTACAACTCTGCAGTACATATCACAATATATATATTTCAAACAAAACTCTTTCAAAAACATAAAGATAAATCAGAAACAGCAAATAAAACCTTAAATTTAATAACTAACAGAAGTATGTACCAATTTGCTGTGATTGCTATTAAAAAATGATAAGTAACCTTGAATGGTTTGTAAAATGGAAAAACAAAAATTGACTTATTTTAAAATTTTAAGACAAAAAAATAACAAACCAAAGTTTCAGCTTACTTTACAACAGTGTAGCTATTCATCATAGGGTCTACTTTGAATGGAATTGTTTTCCAGCTAGCATTTCCTTCAGCTACTTGAACAGTATAATATCGGAGTGGCGCAAATCCATCTCGACCTGGTGTCCAGCTGAAAGTGACCTGTCGAGATTGAATCTGGGAGCTGCTAATTTGTGGAGCACTTGGTGCTTGAGGAGCCTCTGCAATTACAGAAATAAATTAAACTCCACTGACTTATTCCTAAGTTACAAAATTATTAAGAAAAAAGTAAATAGGAAACAGATGATGATTTAAAAGTTCTCATAACTATCTCTCTCTCTCTCCTGTGATTCATATATAAGCAGACATTGGTGATTGTGGCTCTCCATCTTTCTTTGTTTTAAGCTAACTGAATGATGTCATTGTCTTTCAGTGCTGGGTTATCAATCCACTTCCACAGGTTAGTAATGTACTTTGTTTTTTGCTTTCCTTTGCCTCTTATACACATCCCCATAACACTGAATTATAATATTAAAAATTCAAATTTTTTAAAGTACAGAAGCTCAATCTATTGTCTGTATTTTTAGCTGTGATACTATAACTGAAGCAAGTCCTTAAATGTTGACAAATTTTGTTCAAATTTCATGTTAATTAATCAACATAAAAATGCATAAATTCAGTTAATAAAAGAAGTTACTTAATCTATTAGCCATATTTATAATTAATGTCCTTGATCTACGATTTTATTATGATATCTACTTTGAATGTGAAAAACAAAATTGTTATTTTTCATGTAATTATTACTTGTAATGTCAAGGCTAAATCATTATTTTTTGTTTGTTTGCAACTTAATATTAAGAAAAATATTGCAATTAAGTATAAGGAATTTGTTTTAGAATTCATGATTGCATGAGTTGGTAACAATGCAGTTAGTTAGATATGCTTATAAACTGAATACATTCTGCAATGCTAGTCAATCAGTTTATGTTTAGAGGACAAGTTATCCACAAATGTTTGAATTTACAAATTGTATGTATAAACTTTAATCTTTTCAAACTTGCAATTTTCAACATGAGATCTTTTTTTCCTCTGATTGACAATGACTTTATACTACCTTTATACAGTTTACTAAGTACAACATACATTGATTTAGGTGTTGGTCTTACAAGTCATCTTCCTCATTAAAATTTCCATAAAAAAAAAATCCATATGCAGAAAAACCATGACAAAAATTCCAGGTTTATTCATAAAACTTAAAATATTAATGTATTTCTGATGGAAGAGACAAATCCAAAAATATTTAGGGCATTTGGAAAACATTATATATAAAACATAATAAGAAAAAGTTTAAATTTGAGTAATACAAATATAAATCCTATAAACATAAGCTATTTGTTAATTGAATATGTTCTTAATGAAAAATTGAAGAGATGTATGAAAAAAGAAGATATAACCTATATTAAATACTGCAAGAGAACAAAATGTAAAGGACATTTAAATGACACTAAAATCAGATTCAGTTGGTAACTAAGTTCTATTAATGGGAGTGAATGCCAAATTAGCAGAATAATCACAATATAGTTCAATTAAGTTTACAGTAGAACATACTTTCTATCTTCTAATGTAGTTTTAATTATAAAACATTGGAAAGCAACTCCTACTAATGGGAGTGAACACTAAGCCAAATACATTTTCATTGCATGTGCGATTGAAAACTAACCTCTATTATTAGTGGTCAACACCGTAGCATGGGCAGTTTTTCCCCATCCTTCACTTGTTTGAGCAGTTACAGTGAAATGGTAATAAGTCTCTGGATCAAGATTAAAGATTTTCAAGGTTCGTTCAGTAGCAGCCAAATCTTTTGTGGTCGTTCCTTCTAGTGAGCTATTTCTTCGATAAGACACTCTATATGCAATTATTTCACCATTTGGATCCTCAGGAGAATCCCAGATGAGTCGAACTGTTGTTGTGGTAACATCCGGGAATGAAATATTTGATGGTTCACCAGGTACTAAAGGAAAGTTAAACAAGTCTTCCTTTGTAACTGACATAAGTGACTCAACTACAATATTCCTCCAAAAACTACTTAAACAGTAAATTCTCATTCACACTTTATAATTAACAACAGTACTTGAATATACTGCATTCTTCAATGGTTTTAAAAGAAATTAAAATAATAATTTTTCTGATTGATAGACTAGATGCTGAATAATTATATATGGAATAAATACTTGTTCAATCTAGAAATAAGCCACACTGTTTTAGAATCTATCAAAAAAATCCAATAACTATATGATAGACAAGCTTGGAAGAGATAAATTTGCTGTAATAATCAGACATGTATGCAGACATTAAAAATACTCATCATATATATATATATATATACACACACACACACACACACACACACACA